CCCTTCCTTGTCGCCCCATGAGCCCTCACCCGACGCCGTTCACTTCTCTCTCCCACGAGCTTGCCAGCCTGACGTTTCTCCCACCCGTGTTCTCACCACTACCAACGTCGCCGTACTCTACGTCGTTACCGCTATCCCACACATACACTAAACGGGGCATCGGTACCACGTTTCTACAGCGACGCAACGGTGGCGCCGCCAGCCAGGGACGCCTCGAAACGTTTTCACCCTCCTGCTTCCTCTCGCCTCACCGCAGTCCATGTACCGTCAACGACGCCTGATGCTGCTGTGCTGCGGTATATACTCGCGCGCCGTCCTTGTCGTTCTATCGATTCCCCTTCCCTTCCCCCCTTCAGCTCATATCCAACCTTTTCTCGTTCTACTCGTCATGTACCCCCTCTTACGCTTTTCTCTTCTCTGCGTCTCACTGGCAGCTAGCTTGCCTGTCTGCTTGCCTGGCCGGCCTGACTGCCTTGTCTGCCTTGCTCGTTTGCTTACTTGCTTGCATGCTAGTCTGTCCGCTAGGTTGCTAGTTCGCTTACTAGGCTCGCCTGCCTACCTGACTGCTTGCTTGGCTGCCTGCCTGCTTGTTCATCTGTTTGCCTCCCTATCTTTCTGTCTACTTGCCGGCCTACTTGCCTGCCTACTTCCCTACCTACTTATATACCTACCGGTTTGGCTGCTAGTTTACTTGCCTGCCTGCCTTCCTACTGCCTGCTTCGTTCATGCTTTGCGTTGCAAATCTTGGTAGAGAATAAGCCGCTGTTCAAGGAATTATGATGGCCCCTTGCTCCTTTCTTTTCTTATTTGCTAGTCTCTCTCATTCTTTGTCACTAGTTTCGTCCTCTATCTCTTTCACGGTTTCATCGAGACGAACGCGAAGCTAGGGATGCGGTATTTTCCTTCGTTCGTTGGCGCTCATTCCTACTGATATTTACGCGCCTACATGCTTTGTACAACAAGCGTCGCCATTACACGAACCCCGGGAACGATACTGTTCAATAATATCAACGTGTTCTAGTACGGCGCTTGGTGTTTCTGCGACATGATTATTAGACAATCCTTGAAATTTATTTAAGTATATCAGGTTTACGGAGCGAATAATGCAAAAGCAGACCATGTGACACGAAGTAAATCTAATTTTCGAAGCCGAAGCTGTGTCGGTGACATTCTTGTACCTTGCGGAAAGAGCGCCATCGGTCGACAATGATGCGCGCGCGCGCAAGTAGACGACTACGATTCGAGGTTAGAACGTTATAAAATCATTCTGGTAATTCAATCTCTTGTTTTCTATTGTACAGTTAAAAAAAAACTTAAATGCGTATAGAATGTTAAGTAACAGCTTTTCAATGCATAGTTACTATATCATGTTTCGATATAATAATGTATGTCGTAATATTTGGAGGTTAGATGAAGCAAATAGTGGAAGTCGATGAGGCATTAAGGAAACCAGAATGTGAGGAATGCTGAGCATGTTATGTTAATTAAAAGTTATCTAAAGCGAAACAACACTATTGTTTATACCAAAATGTTAAATGAAGTATTATATTGTGTAATAGTTTACTTTCTCAATATTATTACACCCAATATGAAACAGTTACGTAAAACTGCAATGTGATCATTAAATGAATCTTTATTACTCAAATGATTGCGATGTATTTCCGTATATTGACATGTATTTTAAAATAATTTGAGTGCAATGTATTCCGCATTATTTTATCTATAATGTATAATTCCGCAAAATGCTGAATAGCACATATTCGATTTGTCTAATGCTGCATCCGTTTAAAGACGAAAACATATTATTACCGATTAAGCAAAACGTTTACCGTAATGAGATTTAATATTAATTAGGCGCGATGTAAATTTAATTGTATCAATTATTTAATTCACCAGAGGAAAAATAACGATGATATTTTGTTTCGTTCTTAATAGTCCACTTTATTTGTTCGCTCGTTCGCGAGACCGAGCCGCGGAAAGAGTACGAATACGAGGATGGTCGTGTGCATTTCGAGGAATAGGTGCGGCAATTATCGCTTCACGTTAATTTTTGGTGGTTTTATAGGCAGCTGCATTGGCGTAACCAGTCGATGATCGATCGGCTGGAAATCTCCGCCAACGTTACCGACGGAATTAACCCTTGAGATACTCTGCCTCGCGGGCCCTTCAGTCACTTGAAATTATTGGCGAGTGCGGTGAGTAATTGCACTTTCAATTGGTAAATTATTAAACCTCGTCGCATCGCGTTGTTACGTTCGCGTTTTGACTCTGTTATTGAAATCCACGACGGATATTTTTTCCATTCTCCCTTTTTCCTTCCACTACCCCCCATCCTCTCTCTCCTCCATTTTTTCCCCTGATAATTCCATATCGTTGCACGTCGGATTAATAACAATGCATCAGCCAAATTTTATTGTTACGAATATTTAGAAGCGTTTTCCGCGTCGCCAATTAGCATCTGTTCTGAACAAAACGTAGGTACTTCCATCGTTCACTTTTTCCATCGAAATTGAAACGGCAACCGATTTTTCGTAGAAACGCTTGGGAAAGGCCAGGCAAGCGAACTGAAGCATCCGTCGAGTTTTACGAACACGGTAAAGTTCCTTCGCCATCGTGAACGTAGTACGGTTATATAAAACGTGGATCGGTAGCGAGTACGCCAAAGTGTTTTACAGCGCTTGTTATACCGTCCGTCCGGACGTATAGATACAGACGAGGCGAGATACAACTTTTTTTCATGTGATCTTGACCTTTGAACAAAACGATTGGCCTGCCCCCCTCGGCTTCCCACCAACCCCAAGACTCGTAGGGTAGAGGATGCAGGATGTCGTTCGTGCGACATCAGTGTCAGTCACTTGTTGAATGTCGGCCAGCGTGTACGGATGAGCATCCGGCGTGCGTCCTTGCAGTGTTTTTCGCTGCAACCGCGCATTCCTCCTCTCCGTTCGTCTGAGGTACACGTCGCCCGGTAAACTCGGATCATCGTATAAATACCAGGAGCGACATTTTCAGTGACACGAGCGTGCTGAACAGAACTTGAACGTGGCCGACGTTCTATTATTTTTAGGGAATAATGGTTTTATTCATCGAATAGATTTGTATATCAGCTAAGACGAATGCTAGATCTGAAACACTTGAAGCTGTTCAGAGGATGTGTTAGGAGAAAGGCACAAGTAAAAGTTCAGAAAATGTAGACCGGTATACTTCGTACAATTGTGTATAGCTTTTTCATGCTGCTGTGCAAATAAGAGAGCAATCAATAATTCATTCATGGATAAGGAATGTTTTTATAAATGCAAATGTTGGTAGAGTTATTTGGCTATTATGTTAAAGATTCTATTACATTTCAAATGAAGTAAAAATCTTTAGTCAGCATTACCCAATTTTTTGCTCTAATCAGTTGTATATTTAGAAATATAAAATTAGCAGAGTGTTGATAAAGTTGTAACAGTAACAATACTTAAAACACAGCTTGTATATTGTGTAATTAAATAATTCATTATTTGAACAGTAATTTATGATTGCAACATATCTGATTTTAGTCATAATTATCGAATTTGCATTATCCAGAAGATTTTTCAATTTATCTGATTATTAGAGCATTGTATTGCTTAAACAAGCAATATGTTCTCGTATATTGTGCCTTTGTTGGTTAACACGAAAATTTGGAATTACATATTTCAACTTCGAGATATTTTAGTTTATAATTGTGTAACGTGAGTTTAATTTCAGTCATACATTCACAGTAGCTGATAATTTTTTGGAGCACTATATGCGTGTTTTGCAATGTGACCATTTTACTTTGGATTAGTACTATCTATACTCTCCGCACGACTATTGATCTATCTCGCTTACAGTCTATTTGGTTCGCTTTCCTTATTCAGTAAACATTGAAAGAATTAAATTTCCGATTTTACTGAACTCTTTGGAACGTTATTGTATTTTGAATGGTATAGAGAGATGTTACAATTTATGTAACCTAGAATTTTCAACAAATGATCCTATAATAGTTTCGAATGGAATAATACTGTCTACCTATCGTGCTTACGTGATATTACAGAGTAGAAAAAAACGTCAGCTGTAGTAGATGTTAATATTATCAAACATTTAATTTCCTTGAGTAATTGTATGTATAAGAGACAAAGAAATTGTGTTAAACTTTCATTAAAGTGTTTCTATTTAAGACTGTAGAATGCTTACACATGTACTTGCATGTTGATTTTTATTCTTCCATATTAAAAGTAATACGTATGTATTTAAAAATGTTTGACTCTTGTGCTTCTTACAATTTCGATCAAATAGTTTATTTAATTCTGTTCGTTAATGGTTAATTACAAATAACTCCATATTATTACCAGTTTGGCATTGAAAGCTGTTTGTCTGTATTTTATACAGCAAATAATTTGTTAGAAAACTTAGACGCGACGTTGATGGTAAATTTAGTTGCACAGTTAAAATTCAAAATTTAATCGTGATTTTACTCTTCATTTTCGAATAAACGTTGCATTCGAAGGCGGAGAACGAATTTCCGTCTTCGCCTCTCGGCAAATACGGGGGTTACAAAGTTCTGTATGACATTTCGTGATGACTGTGATGTCTGTTCCACAGTTCCATCGATGGCGAGGAACGTGAGGGTCCTGCGACCGAAAAGATTATAGCGAATCCGCCACTGATTTTACGATTACGTTAATGATCCTCTCTTGCGAATTCAATCTTAACACGATGTTTGCGCGCAAGAGTGCTTCTCCTCTGGTCGACAGAATTTCTGTAACGTTGAAAACATAGTTCGAGTTTATGTAAGGGAATTTCGACAAATGTACAGTGAGATTTAATATTCACTTAATTAACTCAAAAGCTCGTATCTTGCGCGCCTGCGCATGCTTCGTATTTTAGCCTAATATGTCTCGTTCCACAAATGCATAATTTCTTGATGAATGTATTGGTGATACGTGGAAAAAATTTGATTTAATGAATGACTCGTCAGTGATTTTGACTTTTTATGATATGGTGTGTATTACCTATATATCGTACTCAGTATTACAAATCAGGGAAAGTGTTATAAAAGTAACTTCAATTTTACAGCTCGGTTGATAAAAATTCGAATTAAATAATAGCTTGTTTTTTTAGATTAAAAATTTTAGATTTAAACATTTCATTAATCCTTATTAAAAGTGTATTTTAATTTCGTATTTTTCATTTGTATACATTATGAATCAAAAAATCTACCATTTATAATGTATTTATGGATATTTTCCTTTGAAGAATTAATTATAAAATTACAAAATTACAAAATTACAAAATTACAAAATTACAAAATTACAAAATTATAAAATTATAAAATTATAAAACTGTTGGTGTAGAGTATAAAATCTAGATTATCAAATCTACATCAACAATTGTGTTTAATTTTGTTCATACATTTTACATAACATTTGAAACAATTCACATGGAAAGACGGATGTCGATTAATCAATAAATATATTTAATACATCTTTCTTTCTTGACGGTTTTTAATTACTGCTTCTCAAGAATTTTTTCTGTAAATGACGTAAGGATTTCTATGCGTTGAGGACATTATAATTTCAACTGCTCGGTAACGTAAATGTGAAAGAATAAAATCGTTATTACGTTTGTTATCATACATATAAAGGTGAATCCTTAAATTTACACTTCTGTAGAATTAAAAAATTTATGTGAAAATTTCTACATTCTTAATTTATTTTTACATACAAAATTACCTCTGTATTCGAGAAAGGCAAATTAAATAACATACAGATATTAATGTACTATTACTAAATTAGTATTAAAAACATATAATACAGGAATAAAAACTGGTTATACAAATTGTTATATTAAATAATATACGAAATATGAAGGAATGTTTTTATTATTCGCTATATAAGCTTTTATCATCCGTTTGGTGCGTGCAGAGTGGCTCATACTAAAGTTTCAAAGAACTCCATTATCGTATTAACTGTTCCCGGTTGTATAAGTCGATCTTCTACTATTCTGTTCGTCTGCTTTTTCGAAATGCGTGTGCAGGTAGGACGAGAAAGGTTCGTAACACGACGTCGTCTTTAATGTAACCTCATGACCCTTTAAAAGAAGACCGCATCTTTTTTCAACATTGAACTTTCATCTTCAGTTAAACAATGATGATAGTGTTACTAAACTTTTTTCCTATTTACTACGAATCATTTATTATGCAGTAAAATTCTATTTAGTGGAATTCTATTAGAACTCTTAGTATGCATTCTTTCTAAAAACAAGAAAGTAGTTGTACGTTCACATTTAAAAAAATTCTTTTATTATTCGCTTTTCAAGAGGATTATTCACGTTTCAATTTAACTTCACTTGAAGTTAAAATTTATTCTTTGATTTTTGATTTTGATCATTTTATATTGAAGAAAATTATTTGTAGACCTGTCGGGGGCAAATAATTAAATTGTGAAAATGAAATTGCTAAATATTAAAACGTTCTGAATTTCTGCAACAAAAGAAATGATAATAAATGTAGGCAGGAACTTTCCTTTAACATTTGAGTATGGTCGGGCACTTCATCTAATCACTCCCTACTCTTTCATTCAGTGTTCTACGAACAAACGAACAAAAGCATTTTCGCATTAATATCTCACATAAATTCAAATAATTATTTTGTCCTACATTTTTCACCATTACTCAAAGCATTTTATCCGATTAAATACTTTTTGCCAGAGGTAACAGACCCTTTACAATCAATAAATGGAACACAGATTTTATGCATTTATAGTACACACATACAATTACTTGAATCTTAATATAATGAAAAATTTCATAAAACACATACAAATTTTCATTTCATTTCATTTCTGTAGTAAATAAAGAACCCTGTAGAATTCTCTAGAATATTATAATTTCCAATGTTCACTAAACTCCTGCATAATCCAAACCGTTTTCTTAATGAAACAGAAGCTAAAAGATCAAGATTCCACGTACAGATTATTTGATTGTCCTTCTTATACCTCATACATTCAGTAAAATTCGATTTGCTCGATACGTCGCCAAGAAAATTAATTTTCTGATCTATACTGGTCCACAAAGATATTTAAAATCGATATATTTGTAAAGGGCACCTCAGACGTGTGTCACCCGATTTCAATGAAACACACATTATCTTCACCTGTATCCAAAGCATCATACACATCATAAATATCAA